TGGCATCGCATGTCGCCTGTACGTTCATCCCGTAGCCGCACTTGCTCCCAGAATAATACGAGAGAACGTTCGGAGTGTTGGGGGCAGTTGCAGCAAGAGTCTTCACGAAGAGGCCATCCCGCGCAGCTACCACACCTTGAAAGGCGCCGCCCGTGCTTTTTTCCTGAGGAGAGACATGGCAGGCGGGGAGGGACACAACAGAGGCGCTCTTAGACCGGTTTTTATGGCTCACAAATGTTGCAAGAAAAGTTGCAGTTCTGCAACTTACTCGCAACATTCCAAATGTACGCCCAGTATGGGAGCAAAAAGTTGCGCAAAAAGTTTTGAAACTTTTCTCGAGGAGCAGCGGCAAGCCCATCGACTACCCCAGGGTGTGTGCGAGCAATTAAAGACGAGCCCTCTCCTAGATATGCCAATCANCCATCCCCCGCAGCTACCACACCTTGAAAGGCGCCGCCCGTGCTTTTTTCCTGAGGAGAGACATGGCAGGCGGGGAGGGACACAACAGAGGCGCTCTTAGACCGGTTTTTATGGCTCACAAATGTTGCAAGAAAAGTTGCAGTTCTGCAACTTACTCGCAACATTCCAAATGTACGCCCAGTATGGGAGCAAAAAGTTGCGCAAAAAGTTTTGAAACTTTTCTCGAGGAGCAGCGGCAAGCCCATCGACTACCCCAGGGTGTGTGCGAGCAATTAAAGACGAGCCCTCTCCTAGACATGCCAATCAATGCAGTGCGACTGTTCGTGCAAATGTTCCCTGCAAACTGGAGCTCATTTCACCATGCATCAAGCCAATACGTGAACACAAGATATTATGGTTTCCCCGTGCTGTCACAGGTGCTTCCCGGTCGCTCCTCGTTCGGTGCGTCTAGGCAAGCAGGATATTCTGCAGAGTGGAGGATCGACATGCATGCATCCATGCAATCGGCGTCATGTGTTTTGGGCCAGGCTCTGAAGCAGTAGTACCTTGTTTATGTACCATGCACGTTAGGAGGCCTGTAGCCTACGGAAGAGGTGAAGTTGAATTGCNAGGTGCTTCCCGGTCGCTCCTCGTTCGGTGCGTCTAGACAAGCAGGATATTCTGCCGAGCGGAGGATCGACATGCATGCATCCATGCAATCGGCGTCATTTGTTTTGGGCCAGGCTCTGAAGCAGTAGTACCTTGTTTATTTACCATGCACGTTAGGAGGCCTGTAGCCTACGGAAGAGGTGAAGTTGAATTGCTCTTTCGACACCAGACCCGGTAGGCATACCACAGCACAACAACACCTGTGTCTGTCCATTTTCGCCGCCTTGCCTGTTTTTGGCCATGTTCGCACGTACGTCGGTTCGCATACTGTAATCTATATTCGAAGTAATGTTGAAACTAAACCGCCACCAAACACGATCATGTGTTCGTTCACAACATCAT